AGAAACATGTAATATCAGAACTCAACACATTAAAGTATGGCAATAAGAAAATATATATACTAGTTAAAGTACCCGCCTAAACTCGTACTCTACCGGATATAGTGAACGCGGAATGTGTCGAGAGACTAATAGAGCACGAGGCGACGAGTTTAGGCGGGTACTTTAACTGGTTTAGTGTGCGTTTACGGGGGAATCCGGAATATGCCACGTGTGTAGGCGATGGCGGACAAAGAAACGGCTGGACGCACGATTGAGGGGGTAGCTTCCTCACCTCATCCGTAGAAGGTTGGGAGCGGCCTGGTTTTAGTTTGGGGATGGGTGAATCGTTTGCGGAGGACTTTCCGCCGCCCAAGAAGAAAAGGTGTCTATCTCTCTCCCGCGGTACGTCACCGTTGCAACATTCTACTAATCGACTAGCAAACCCGTTGAAGCGTCCGTTTTGAGTGAGGCTTGCCCCCAACCAACAAGAAAAGAAAAAGCAAGAGAACCATACTTGACAAAAGAAAAAAAAAAAAAAAAGGGAAAAAAAATCAAGAATAAAGAAGGAGAAAAGGGAAAAACAAGCTAAAAAGAAAAAGGGGGAAGATAGTAAAAGCAAACATATCGTAAAAAAAGGAAAACACAAAAGACCCCAAAATAAGAGGAAAAAGAAGGAATAAAAGTTACCCGGAAAAGAAGAAGTGGTAAGAAAAAACATAAGAAGGAAAAACCAAGATAGACAAAGAAAACAAAAGAACGAAACGAAAAAAAAGGATAACAAAGTACGAAGAAGAGAAAAAACCACAAAAGAAAACCAGAAAACACAACAAAGGAAGACAAGACAACACGACCCAACGTACCAAAAAACCAGCCAGACCAAAACCAGAAGAAACGATGAAGCACACCCACACCCAAAGCACCCCACCACCGCCCCCGACCCACCCCCCCCCCGCCTTTTTGCACCGCCCCCGCCCCCCCCCGACTCCCGACCCCCCCCCCCCCCCACGCCCGACCCCCCCCCCCCCCCCCCGCCCCCGGAACATAAATAGCAAAAGGACAAAGAAAACAAAAAAAGAACGATTAACAATAAAAAAAAAATTAAAAATAAAAAAAGTAAGAAAAAAATAAACATAAAAAAAAACAGAAGAAAAGAACCATAAAGAAAAAAAAGACAAGCAAAAACACAAGAAAAAAAGAATCAAAATAAAAATAAAAAAGGAAGAACAAAAAAAGAAGAAAAAAACAATAAAAGAAGAAGGAGCTACACACCGTGAACGAACCAAAACCCCCCAAAACAAGAAACCACAAAAAACAACCAAAGCCACCACAACACCCCCCAACACCAACCCACCCCACCCACGACCCCACCCCCGATGCCCCCGACCTGCCCGACCCCCCCGAAACCCGCAGCCCCCGACTGGCCCCCCCCCCCGACTGCCGAAAACAAACCGGGACAACCACAGACCCGACAAAACCCCGCGCCGCCGACCCCCGGACCGTCCCCCCCCTGCCCCCCCGCCCCCGGGGACCTGCCCCCCCCCGAAGACAGGGATACCGTTGAAGAGGGAGACACAGTGGGCCGTGAATGACTTTGAGTGCTGGGCCCCCTCACGAGCGTCTTCCAGCGCGGATACCACTCGATACGTTGCTAAGCCACGACGCGGAATTGGTATGTAAATGGCTCTGCTGCTTTATCTTCGAAACAAGGAAGGTCGAGTATCACGCTACCCGCAACGTTGAGATCGCTAGTGAGCGGGCTGAACCGTGAACTGAAATGAAACGGTGCTCCTTTCTCGGTGTTGGGGACAAGAGTGATGGCAGGTTTCGACCGCTTCTGAAGCTCCATTCACTAAGCTGTGAGTTGCACAGGGAAGGAATCGGTGCTGTAAGGCAAAGTGCTAAAGTTATAGATCATGAGCATGATATTTTGGGAGAAGCAGCTTCTTGGTTACAGTACACCTAAAATCCTTCAGCATACAGTCTTTTTTGTTGTTGACCGCACGGGGAAGGAGCGGCGGCAAAGACGCCACAGTGTCCTCCACGAAGGTCACAGAGAGACCCTGCTTTTGCCAAACGGTAGGTAAATGACTAGTAGGCGAATGCAAGGCATTTTTGGCGAGCGGGAGCGAGCACACAATGACTGTATTTCCACGCCTATTTACAACTTGAACCTTAGAACCACGAAGATTGGAAAAGGGGTATATACAGCCTCAGGTATCGAAGAGCGAAGCGAATGCCAGACTAGAGTTCTTTCGCTGGCTAGATTTCGCATGGATATGACAGCCAGGGAGCGTGTAAAATACGCCCGTGTCCTATCACGCAAGCGACACTGATACAGTCGAACTCTCTGCTCAGGAGTCTCACGGGCACGATGCGAAGTCTCTCTCTCTCTCTCTCTCTCTCTCTCTCTCTCTCTCTCTGCAGGAGACACTCACTCCCCAAAGAGATATCCTGTAAGTGTGCCATTTCACTGCACTTTGTTGGCCAGCTATATAAAACTACCCGTGTTGGACCCCTCAGCAGAGACAGAGAGAGAGAGAGAGAGAGAGAGAGAGACACAGAGAAGAGAGAGAATATGGCTCAGGACGACAAGCTGCTAGTGAAGGTGGGCTGTATAGATCCAGTTCCATGTGACCCTCATGTAAAACGAACTAAATTGTTATGTACAGACATTCACTTGCGCTACCCTAACACTGTATTTACGTAATACTAATTTGAGCATGTGCTAATATTCGTAGTGTGTATATATGTACACTGAATTACCCTCCGTGTTTACTGGGTCTGCCGTGTCCACTGTGTCAAGTGTGTCTGGCTTGTGTCCTGTCCAGCGTGCCTGTGTCCGTGCTGTGTCCAGTGTGTCTGCTGCATTTGTTCTTTCCCACCACAGATCAGGCTGAGTAGTGACGACTATGCAGCAAAATTCAAAATTCAAAAAAAGACGGGGGGAACTTCCATGAGGTGCCCATGTGGGCACTGGAGTTCATTATTGAAGAAATAGGGGGCTTCAAGCTCATTACACCTTTGGACCCCCTACCCCTAGCCCTAGGCCTACCGAGTATGTCAGATCTCAATCAAGAGTTAAAATTGTGGTGGCGTTTGAAGAAGAGGGTGTTGGAGGCGGCTGTCCCACGAATTGCATTGGGCAGTAACGAGCCGTGGAATATAATGAGCCGAAGCAATTTGCATAAATATTCGTTGCTCAAGCCGTGCATAATTGACAGACATAATGGACATTCCTCTTCCTCCCCAGAATCATGCTTTAATCAAACGAGTAGTAGAAAGCATTTGCCAGCCAATGCAGTATACAGGCCCACCATCTCTGATGACGCAGACTCGGACTCAGACTCAGACCACCCCCAAAGAGACTCCACCAGGAGGACACTATTACATCCCACTCCTCCCTATGGGTAAGCTGACATTCACAGCCACCCATGTGTATTGCATACACCCTCATCTTCCTATAGTTTTTTGGACATTTAGAGGCCAGTATTACACACTTGCGGGATTGCATGGAGTGTGCGCCTGGTGATTTAACGAACGATGTTGGAAAGCTCGTTTTCCATTCTCTCGTGAAGTATGCGCTCAACATCAGTCGACAAAATGACTTTTTCCAAGTGTAAGGGGGACCAATGTTTGTGGGTTTGGATGTTTTTTTGGTATTCTGCAGGTGGGTATCTACAACTACTAAACCGAATCAAAGGTGTTGTATGCTAGGCCAGGCTCAGTATTGTGATGGTGTAAAGGGAAAGTTCACAGTGAGTTTTTCTGCCCAATTTGTATACGGCCCTTGTTGGCTAGCACTGTGACAACTTCTTCTGACTTGGCTAAACCATAAAAAATATTTACAGTCTATTGCAGATATTTGGGTTGTGAAAAAATCGCCATTGGGTCAGTGCACAACAATAGTAGGGGAGGTATGTATATGCTTTGGTTGTGCATGTTGAGGTTATACAGGCTACTTGGTGCAGATAAAGAGTCTAGCTGACCAAAGGAGGTATTCTCACTCTGGTGAGGGACAACTGGGGGCTAGTATTGCCCTATCACTGGCATCCAGCCAAGATACGTCCATTCTTGGGTTTTTGGCTGCACCTGCTGAGGTATACGTCAGATTCTCCCCTCATAATTTCCCTCCTCCCACAAGAAAATTAGGTGAGTACCAACCTACCAACAGCGCAGATTTTATTCATCTACGACCATACGTCGTGCAAGTGTGCATATGTCAGGATTACGCACTTCTTTTTATCCGCTATCAAATCAAATTTTTTACACGCTGCAGCCATCCGCCAGTGAGAGAACTCAGCACCATTCGTGGCACTCTTCCCCGTGCCAGCACGGGGCATCGAGAGCTCCAAGAAACAGATGCCCAGGAACTGCACAATGTGCGGATGGCGAAGATCCTTCAGCAGCCGACATTCGTGCACGAACTTTTCCCTTGGGTTTCAAGTTCAGTTTGGTGACGTAGCCGTAGGCGCCGTCCCCTACGTGCTCTCCAGCGATCATGTCTTGCAACACGTATTCTTGTAGTTCGGGAGCCGTAGCGATGGACATGGACCTCCGTAGTAAGACGGTGTCAGGTTGGCCTGGACTATGTGACTAATTGAATTCCCTAAGCGTGACTAATTGACATTCTTAAGCGTGACCGACACGTACGTACGCATATGGCGAGAATACAACCCGGACCAATTAGTGGTACGGCACATGCGTTTACTTACGCGTGCGCATCACAGTGCGCCGAGGGTTTGCACTTCAGTGCTTTTCATTATACTGTGACCTCTCTCTCTCAGGCAAGACATCAAGAGCTTGAAACACCAGCTCTACCAAGCAAGAGTGAGCAACTAACAATATTATTGGTGAGCGGGCTGTTGCGTTGCACTGAGAGAGACTGTGGGTTTTTAATATTATTTCCTCCTTCAGCTGTCCCACCACCATCCCAGTCCTCCCTCCCCTCCTTCTCCTCATCTCCGTCCACACCACCCCAGATCTCCCTGTCCCTCCTCTCCCTCTCCGGAAGCAGCAACACCGGGACCCAGCGGGGCAGCGGTGCAAGATGAACATTGTTATGCATAGGTGCTACAAGGAGTGACGCTTCTAAAAATGAAGGGAGAAGAGGTGCTATCGATACCAAAAAGGACCATGTACTCTTGTCATAAAATACCACAAACATTGCAGTAGACGGAAAAAAAGGGAAAAATCTTTAAAAAGAACGAGTAAGCAGTGGGCCTACATTTTTTCAACAAACATTTTTAGGCAAGATGTTGAAATTAGGGCCAGGAGGACATGGGCACGCTGCCCGGCATGGAAAGGAACCACTCCCAACACACACACACAGGCAGAAAAAAGTGTATATGACTGGTGTGGTTGAATCCGGGGAATCTGTTGTAGTTGTCAATCGTCAACGACAAAAATTGTATAAACAGCCACTACACCCTGTTAGCCGCTATACGCTTCTTTCTTTGATGAGCCGGGATCGATCATTGTTCACACGGTCCCTTCCACCAATAGCAAAACACAAAGACTACTTTGAGTTCCCACTGTTGAAGCCGCCTATAAAACGAGAGACACCAAGAAGTGACCTATTCACCTTCGTATCTTCAGTTGTGTTTGCCTGTGGGGTCTACCCCAAAAGTCCGAGTGACCCGTCAGTTCATGGGGTTGTGGACGTCCTCGTGGAACAGATCGATGGAAGGGTTCTATTGGTGGGAGAGGTGAAGAAGGAGGTCGAGGGGGAAGATAACTTTCAGTTACTGGCTGCACTCCGATCGTTTCAGAGGCAACATCCGGTCGTAGGGCTGCTGTTGGACCCAAGGAACATCTCTTTGTACTTCCCTCCAACAAGACTGCTACTCAGTACAGGATCGTAACCTCAACGATCAGCAACTTCAGGGAAGTCATACGAATGCTGGACTATGCCTTTGCATACTCTCTCAGCCATATCGAACGTGGGCGTGACAGGGAGGAGGCAGCTGTAGTGGAGGCACAGGTGGAAGAGTCAATGGCAGCAGACGCACCGGGAGATGTGGTGGAGGCAGGGTCTCTGCATGATATTCTACGAGAAATAGTAAGGCAAGGGCACAGAATGGAGACAAGGCTTTGTGCCCTCGGAGAGGCTCTTCTATCACTATCATCTGAGCCAAGAAAGACTTTCACCACCTCCACCCCAGCGCTCGGCCCTCCAGCTCCAGCTCCAGATCAAGACCAAGACTGCTAGTCCTGCAAACTCAGGAACGTGAACTATCTACACTTTGTAACAGTCGTCTTGTAGTCCTGCAAACTCAGGAACGTGAACTATGTCTCAGGAACGTGATTGAGGCCAAAGTATATACACTTTTTTCTGCCTGTGTGTGTGTTGGGAGTGGCTGTTTCCTTTTGCTTCTTTTTATATATGTAGGCTTTACTGCTACTGTAGAGCATGTGACGGAGGTAGAATTCAAGAAGAAAATCGGGAAAACCATTTACGTATTTCCAGATGACTCAATTCCGTACTGCTCACCTTCACGACATCATCTTCTTCCTGGATGATGTACTTCAGGTATTAAGAAGTCCGCCAGTTTCCACCACAGCAATGGTCCTCCGCTCCATGGAAAAGATGAGTTTGGATGGGAGGGAGGAGAAAGAGGGGGAACAGGGCAAGGAGTATTCCGAAGCGGTAAAGGCAATGAAGCAGACTGCAGACATCCTCATCCACCTCTATGAGATGCGGCCTGCACAACTGGAACTCCAGCATTGTTCAACCATTCTCAGGTGTGTTAAGGACTGGTTCTAGCAAAATCGGCTTAAATAAATAACCGAGTTGAAGTAAAAGATTTGAGCCAACCGAAGGTTACATCGAAGTCAAACAAAGCCTGATATAAAGCTCAATTAAGCCACAAGTGGGCATGGTTAAATTGACCACGCCCACCTCCGCATCCGTGGGATAGCACAATCTTAGTAGCGGTCGCTCTCCAGACAATATCGAAAAAGGCGGTCATGAAGAGCGAAGTCCACACCTAACAAAACCTAGAGGATTTATCTAGTAGGTATAATTGACAATGGCTGTCGATACTGTGAGAGTTCCACCACCCATAAGAGAGCTCTCCATCTCCAAGACGGAGTCACAGGACGACGTGAAGGACAGGTTGAGCAAGCTGGAGGGAGAGGTGAAGGCCCTCAAGAAGAGGCTGAAGGGCATGGCGGCTACCCTTGGTCGTGTCGAGAGCATGGTCAAACGCGGCCGTGTAGTAGAGATCCGTGGCACAAAAAGCGAGAAACAGGCGAAAAACACTAAAAACAGTACCTTGGTCGGAGCTACTCCCGAGTGTTTCTCTGCCAATCCGTTTTTCAATCTCAATCCAAAATTGATAGATTACAAACCGACGGTATACCTATCTTTGCCCCATGTAACAAGTTTATTACAAGTTTGATTAAAAACATGGAAACAAACCACCAAATGAGGTCCTACAAGAAATAACAATTGCAAAACACCGGGGAGAAGATGTATTGAGTGTGTGCAAACGCACACTCAACCCTGAGCATCCTGTAATAAAATATAGCCTAGATTGCCGACAACGCTATTTCGTTAAGAAGGGGGATCCTTCCCTCACCAGAAATAGTAGGCACTTGGCTTACATGTTTAAAGCAGACCTATTTAGGTCAGAGGACATAGCCACTCTAAGAAAAATGTAAGTTACTTTAGAAGAGCTCTGTTTATTATTGGTATATACCTGCATCAATTTTTATCCAGGTGCCGTGCTAGATATAAATTGCAGTAGACATTGATTATTATCCAATTCTTGATTATTACCATGTAGTCGACAATGAAAAAATGCACAACCTGCTACCTGTGCTACAAGAATTGACAATAAGAGAAATTAAAGGAGAAGAGGTACTATCTGTACCAACACAGACGACATTCCTATGATAAAGTAGAGTGTAGAACGTAAAAGACGTATGTTTGCGAAGAAAGGGGGAAAATCTTTAACAAGAACCAGTAGTCGATGTGCCTACATTTTTACAACACAAAATTATTCAGGCAAGAGGATGTTGAAACTCTACAAGGAAGAAAGGGCTATCTTCCGAGCCAAATACCTCCTGCTCAAGGAGAGAAGCCGACGAATTCTTCCACCTCTGTGTGGTAGGCAGGGTTCTGCCCACACTGGTTGGCGGTGGTTATCTGCGACCACAACTCTGCCATACCCGACCAGTACTCGGCGCTACCCGACCACCACTCGGTACATAGCCTGCACGGACCGCGTCGCAGAGTACATCGGGTCAGAATATGCTCTTACTTTTGCGCACGCGCGCGCGCTAATGTACACTGCTGCTGACACGTGATGTGTGAGGTCTCGCTCGCTCAGGTCCAGCGCGATCGAGCGTGCCATGTCCACATCATCGTCTGTGAAGAGGCCCGACTCTTTACTACACTCGAAGACTGGGGAGCAGCCGCCAAGTCCTAAGCGTATAAGAGGTGCAGATGAAAGTGATGAGTTTCAATCAGAAACGGATACGCAGTGTGCGAGCACGGGTGCAATGGACGCAGGCAGCAGCAGTGCAAGTAGTGAAAGCAAACAGTCTAAGTCGAGTTTTCAGCATTGCAATGTGCATCCATATGTAATTCGATATACCACAGTATACGTATGATATATGCATGCACAGTGGGTGTAATTTTGTGGAACGTAACCACCACTCCCTCACTCCTGGGCAGAACACTGGGTAGGTGACCATTGATACCATGTTTCATGTTAATTTGGCCCAAACATTAATGAACTAAACATTTCCACTACAGAGTTCAGACAATAGCTATATATAACCAACACCCTCAACATCCAAATACGGTGAACACACTAGTGCAGGCACCTGTCGTGTTCCCTGCAGTTCTCATTTACAGAGCCTCTTAGGTTATTTAATGGTGGGTCATATTCGTGAAGATATTGATCAGAGTTTTAGCTGTTTGTCGAGGTACCTGAGAAGACGATACCAGGTTCACAGTCGATGTTTGTGATATTGGAGTGTTTCATCAGAAATGGAAAGCAGCTGCAAAGCATCGAACTACGCTGTGCGGGGAACTGAAGTGTTGGGGTACAAGACTACCTGAGTAGAGTGCGATGCCTAGGAAACCCGCGACCACGATCTCCTACTAAAAGTAATACTGAGCATGTGTGCAGTCTTATTCGTGAGGCTAGCAGCGAAGGGAAAGTACACACTGATGGCCATTAGATTGGCCCACAAAGTCATCTACGGAACAGATATGATGGAAAAAGTGATAAAGATCGAGCGCTGTATCAAGCACATTTCAAGCTTTACAACGATACGAAACCAAAAATAGAAATATCAAAGTATCAAAAATAGCATCTACAGACAGCAGCACTCACGTATAAAAAGGAAAAATGTAGGGCAGCTACACCAGAGAGCCAGCTAGCAAGGCAAGGCATAGTGGGTGCCCTGGCCTTGAGAACCAGGGGGTGGTGGGTCTTTAACCACCGGTGAACTCACCCACGCCTTTCTCACGGTGAAACTGCCCACAGCAATACAATCTGCAACATACCTCATGACTCAGCTTCGGCACAAAATGACACGAGTGTCTTATAAAGAGGACTTGACAGAAAATAACCACGCAGATCGATTGAATTCCTTCAGACATATGATTTCTCCATTGAGCATCGACCCGGCCGATAAGGGGCGATGTAAATTGGTACATAAGAGTTCATAAACGTGGTCGTCGAGTTGTCACAAACTTGTAAACTGAAGGCAACCCATCATACAAACCACAGATGCCCTCAGACACATGTCTCTTCGTACGGACGTTACATTTGCTCATGAGATTAACATATTTCATATAAAATTTCTTGAAACTCCTGACTAATTCAACATAGAGAAACCCTTGTTTGATTACGAACATGTTGCGCTTTACAAAATCCTCGTACGTACTACAAGTCCGCCCTATTCTTACTAGTTTTGATATATATATTGGTCCTGATGGTATATTTACACACTTGCACCTCGCACAAAGTAGTGTTTGTGTCAATTTTACTAATTTATGCATTTTCAAAGGCACAACAATAATAGCGTATACACCTCATTATAGAGACAACGAAATTTACATACACAACACTCACTTGAGCACCGGTATCGATGAGGAAACATAGGCCTGTGTCTCGGTCTGTAATGTAGAATAGGCGACTTGGTTGTAGGCCAGTGGCGTTCGTCCAACTCCAAGGAGTGGAGAAGTTGCTGGAGTCTGCGTTGCTCGGGGAGGCAGGTTCGCTGAATGAATTGCTGTCGTATGGGTTGTCGCGCACTTTCCGGTGATAGTGAAGCGACCACGTAGTCATATTTCGTCCTCTACGCAGTTATGCTGAACTGCGCCTCAATCTGGGCAAACCAGACGTCTGGATCAGCAGGCCAGAAGGGCGGGAGCTTGAGTTGAACTGTAGCTGTGACAGTTCCTGCGTCTCTAGCTCTGTCGTCGAGGCCATCGTTGCGTGTTCGGATGACGTCGTGGTCGGCAAATGTAAGTAACATAATTATACAAATTACCTTATATTATGCTCTACATAAGTTGTACATAGGTCATACACGTGTATAGGTCAGAGGTCGTGCACGTGTATAGGTCAGAGCCGGCCTAGCGTACGTATATACTATATAGCCCATATCAGTGCCCGCCCACGCGAATGTTAACTGCTCTTTCGCTAAATTAGAACAATTGACGATTACGATTTTACTTTTGATATACACATGCACAAAGTCACAATTTCAGAGATGCAAGAAGGTTGCTGAGTGCACTGGCATATGCTAGAGAGAGAGGAAAAAACACAAGACAGATAATTAGCAGTACAAATTAGTACCCCCACATGAGGGTAATCACAAACCTCTAGGGTTTTGGTAGAAGGGGCAGTTGTTGGCACAGGTGAGGGGATGGGTGTCCCAGAGACTGGAGCCACAGGAGCAGAGAGGAGGAGGAGGAGTGGGACAGGACGCAAGCCGGTCTCGCAGCTGGGCACGCAGAGCCTCCAAGTAACGCTCCGTCTCCTTGGCAACTTGGAGTCGGTGTCTGCGTCTCTCAAGAGCCAGTGTCTGCTCCCACACCTCCAGCCTCTCCCTCTCCTCTTCCTCCCAACTCCCCACACTCACCGCCACCCCGTCCTCCTCCTCCCCTTCCTCAGCCATCCGTCGCTGGATCTCATTCTCTCTCTTCCTCTGCTCTGCGCTCCCCTGCAGAGCCAGTCTCACTCGTCGCTGGCGTGCTTCCTCCCTCTCCAGATGAGAGTACAGTCTGTGGAACATGTGCAGCTGCCTTGCCTGGCTCCTGCGTCGGTCCAGAGCCAGTCTATCAGGAGCTGTGAACCTCCTGCCAGCTGATCTGTGTCCGCAGCAGCGTGAGGCAGGAAGAGTGGCTGGGGTGAGGACTTCGCCACATGGCTCTTCTCCTCTCTCTGGTGTTGAGGGAGCTGGGGGAGGGGGAGAGGTTGGTCTACTGGCAGAGAGAAGACTCAGTCTAGCTCTCTGAACTGCTGACCCTGCCTCTGTCACTTCTACCTCACTAATTACAGGGGTCCCCCTCCCTTGCATCAAGGGTCTTCTTTTTGCTGAAAAACTTCTTGTTTCTTTCTTAATATGATGGGTATTGGCGGTATCCGAGACCTTGTTCAGTCTAGCTCGCTCTTTCCTCCGCACTCTCTCCTTGACGTCTCTCTGAAATGCCAACAACCGCTCCTCTTTCATTCTCCTCGTCTCCTCGCCCCGTGCCTGCAGCTCCTGGGTATCTAGGGCAATGACGTCACCCCCCATTTGGTAGGACTCGACTTGAGTCTTTACCAACTCCACTCGACCGTTGCAAGATGCTATGTGCCCGCGAATGTGCGGCTGAACTCGAAGTCCACCTGAATACATGATATTCTAATTGGTGCCCACTTTGCATTTTGAACCTTGTTGTCATGGCAATTAATAATTCCAGCGGCGCGCGCACAATAAAACTCTAATTAATGCCCAGTATAAGTGGCCATCTTGGCGGTTGTTTACGAGACATGGCGGAGGGAACAAACGTTTTCCTGAGAGAGATCGACGAACTACTAGGAGATGAGGTGACTGAGACTGACGAGAAGGACGTAAGGCAGTTGGATGATGCCAGGGAACCGTACGTTCATTTGGCTGGAGCGAGACCACGTGGAGTTCTTTCTTTACCCCAGAGAAGACGAGCTGAAGGCTGCACTGGCCGCTCACGAGGAGGTTGACGTCCTCCAGAAGTTATGTGAGGGGAGGAAGGTTCCTGGAGACCTGCGACTGGCCCTGTGGAAGGTGAGGGGGACTAGATATGTAATTACAGGAGCTTACCCACTCTCCTCTGGTGTAGGAATGTCTGGGAGTGTCTCGTCAGCCTGACGATGGGCAGCTGGAGTGGTCCTCTGGACTGCGAGGGGCAAGACGTCATCCATAGACAGTGTCAGGAAGCAGCAGGTGAGTCCATTCTCTCTCTTGTCTCAACTACTTCAATTTCTCTCTGTGTACTTCAGCCAAACTGCCTCTGGACGAGTCATCTCGGCAGCTGGCAGCCCAGGACATGGAGCTGGTAGTCTCCTACTACTGTAAGACCAGGAATATCCGCTACTCTCCCGAGCAAGGCTGGACTGAGCTACTGCTGGTCCTGGCCTCCCTGCAGATGAGCAGGGCTGACCTTTTCAACTGCTTCTATGCCATGCTGGCCAAGTACATTCCCAGGTACATTCTACTTCACTCCAACAGTTGGCAACCTGCCAGTTCTTGCATGCTTTATGGTTGTTACTTCATCACGAAATATTCAAAGTAACAACCTTGTTTATCGACCAAACTGTGAAATTTTAATTGCCGTTGCCATGGGGACTTGACTGACCTGCTCGTCTCTCCCTTTCCCTTCTCGTCCTGTTTTCCTCCCTCTCTCTCTACCTCTCTCCCTCCCTCTCTCCCTCCCTCCCTCTCTCTCTCTCTCTCTACCTCTATCTCTGTCTGTCCGTCTCTCTGGTTCCATTCAGCAGGAGAAGGTTCCTGCGTCAACCAACAGCTCTACTACTGTCCTGTCACTGGCCAATAACTCCTGCAGACACTATGGAGAGCCTTATAGGTGGGTCTTTATCTATTGTAGAGCTCGCTCAAGTCATTTCAAACCAATTAGAATCAGAGCCCGCTGGAATGACAGGAAGGCGATAGAAGAAGACGATCACGCTAAAATCTAAGCCAGCTAGGCTCTGTCGCTCGCACAGTAGCTGGTTTAGATTTTAGCATGATCGTCTTCTTCTATCGCCATAGGACGAGGCTTGGCTGTTTTGTTATGGATAGCCAAGCGTATTGTTGTATTGCTGTCCTCCTCCTGGCTGTAAGATCACCAGTACCAGGCTCTTTTCCTCTACCACAAAGAGCCTGCGAATGTGGCTATCGTATACACATGTCTTTCTACACACTCTGTGCAGGTCACCATCGCAGTCAGTGGTGTGGATGTGTACGTACACACATGGCAGACATTAGGACAAGAATGACATTATTAATTTAGTGCTTTTCATTTTAGTAGTGAAGCTAGCCCGTTACTAACACTCAACTATGACGCGCCGTTTGTGTCAAAACGAAATTTTCCTGTAAATCTCAGTAATCGTGGCGACGAATCGTTTTCTCGGCGACGAATCGATTTTCGGGGCGACGATTCTACTTTCGTAGCGACATTTCTTCTTTCGTCGCGACGAATTTCTACGGCTAAGATTGTTAATCAAGCGACGAAAGCTTCTCAAGGGAACTAATGTTGGATTTAGGGCGACGACGGCACGTAACTTTCCTACTGCGACGATATTTCAGGTGGGGGAGTTGAAAGGTTAACTTACTCGAAACCAGTATATATAATTAGTATAGAGGCGGGATTTTGGAAGGGACCGATCAATGAACTTATACTGTATATTGACTACAGGCGCACTCTTAGCACTCTAGGAAAGTTTTCAACTCTCCCACCCGATGAAAAAAATTGTCGCAGTGATCGATTTACCTGACCGCAGTGATCGCTTACCGCCGCCTCAAGCCAAGATATTTCGCCTTTGTGACAGAATTATGTTGCTTGATAAACAATCGCCGCGAAAACGATTCGTCGCCCCGAAAAAGATCTGTCACCCTGATTACAGAGGAAAAAATCGTTTTGGCACAAACGGCGCGCCATACTCAGTTATACAGCGGTAAATTAGCAGTAAGCGCATGGGTATACTTACCGCGTGCGCGTTCTATAGCCTCAATCTGTTAACGCATGCGCGAGATATTCACTAAAATTCTGCAGAGAATGTTTACTAAGTATTGTTGAGCTGAAAACATGGCAAATGCACAGTGAAAGATGTCACTTGGTAGCATGCTTACCTTGTCTGAAGCCTTTCACAGAAGGTTGTGTAGGTCAGTCTTCCTCAACTTTGTTTACATGCAACCCTTCTCTTGCGAGTGCGCGAATCTCCGCAGAGGGTTTGCACTTTAGTGCTTTCATTTCCTTTGTTTTAGACACAATCTGTTTTCAGGCGAAAGGTTGCCCCTGCCATACTGGTTGTGTCACTGTCCAGTAACCTTTTTCACACCCTTTTTCTTGTGAGATTGTTCTGAAAGTGGTGAGGCATTGCTTGTTGTGTATTGTGGGCAATGTTCGCTTTGGCTTTGTTGTTCGAACTATCAACAAACTTGCCTACAATAGAAAAGTGTGCACAACTATAATTGTGGCACCCTTCCTAATCTAAGAGTACAGCTGCATTGGCTTCCCTTTTGACAACAGTAGCAAAACACAATACCTCGCTATTCATTGTGTACAAGGCAACAAATTAGTTGTTGGCTTGGCTTTCCCACCTGACCACATGAACTATGCTGGCACGGTTGCAACGTATAAAAGTCTTCGGGCATTACATCACAAGAGAGCCAACATATCCCACGTGGCACTTGAAAACTAACACAGATCGTTTTCAGAGACAGAGTGGTTAGTAAACAATGCTCAAAATGATCATATACATACATAAGGCGGATTTGTAATAAAAAGAAAATGCACAGGCTATAAATTTTTCTGTAGAAGATGTTCTTTCCTTCCACGGTGTTCTGCTCTTGTGTGGACATAGCACATTCTGCAGGTCATTCTCTTTTGCAAAAAAAATTAACAGGTTTAAAATGAATTTCTTAGTACTAGAACTATATATACCTGATTTTTTTTGTTGACACATCTCCCATGGTAGACATGTCCACAGAAGAAGAGCACAAAATCAGCTTTTTCCGCTGCAACAAATTTCAGATGGACAAGGTACATGTGCACTTGCTCCCTATAATAACAGCTCGGAATACGCTTTTACTTTTCATGGTCACTGTCATGTTGTGCAAGGATTATGAAAAGAAGGTTGTATAGTGTTAACCATGAATGAAAGCCTGTGTCAGCCAAACCTACTTTTGGTGGCAAACATGTAGATACCTGCGTTAATATGGACATTGATGATAGCTTCATTGTGGCCCATTATTATCTGTATGTCATTCGGCTTGGTAGGAAAGTACGCTGTAGTTTTTTTTGACTCAAACCCAGTATGTGGCTAGAGATAATCATTGACTCGACAGTAGTTGCCTGGATGTATGCTTAGTTATAATGCAACCCACCTAATGGCTCTGCCCTACTTACTACAATATCTGCGGATGTTACTTTAATCTTGTGTGTCTTGTGTGATACACAGCACAGACCCATTTGTACTATGGGCACATATGGTTTTGAACTGTTACCAGGTAACTGTCACTTGGCACCATTGCTCATGCGTATTATGTACATCATTTCCATGACGACAACAGGCATTTTTCTCTATTATTAAGTTTCACAGAGATATACGTAGTAGTATATAAAAATGAGTGGAGACAAGTAAATTAAAAACCCTGCGAATTTAAAAAAGAAGCATATAGGGATGGAAGAAAGAGAGACAAGATAGGGATGGGATACATGAAGCATGGTTAATGAAACGCTGACACCCCCAACCCCATCACACAATCCCTATATTGTTGCCTAGGTGAAGTATTAAACATTCAACATTACATAATAGTCTAGCTTGAAAATACGAAAAGTCATGCTACGTACTAACTGAGTAACCAAGAGTACAAATGGAGTGGCACACCAGGCAACAATATAGGGATTGTGTGACGGGGTTGGGGGTGTCAGCGTGCTCAAATCTGTTCATTAACCATGCTTCATGTATCCCATCCCTATCTTGTCTCCCTTTCCTTTTATACCATCCCTATATGCCTCTTTTTTAAATTCGCAGAATTTTTAATTTACTTGTCATGTATAGAACTCTAAACGGACATTATCTATTGCACACCATGCATGTTAATGCAGTAAACATGCACACCTTGCATGTCAATGCAGTAAAAAAGGAAAGGAGACAAGTAAATAAAAAATTCTTCGAATTAAGAAAGTGTGGAATATAAGGATGGTATAAAAAGCAATGAGACAGACAGGGATGTCCTAGTGAACATGATGCAATGGATAATGGCTACATACTTCAGACTGACATCACTTACTCGTGAATACTATATTGTTGCCACCTTTACTCACTGACATGAGTTTGTTTAGGAAATGGAAGTGCGAGGACAATGGTGAAGGGATTCTGTAGATGGCCAAGAACGCAGCATTGTAAAACTGGTTAGTTGAGCAAATGTAGAAGTCTTAGACTTCACACAATGCAGTCACAATTAAAAAGTGAGTAGATGGTATTACCCGTCTAAGGTGCTTATGAAATAATTCATAGCTGTGCATCACACAAGGGAGCACAGTCATACGTCGTGACAATATAGGGCTTGTGTGGAGGAAATTTTACACGAGTAAGCGAGGTCAGTTGGAAGCATGTAGCCATCATCCATTGTACTACTGCATCATGTTCACTAGGTCACCCCCTGTCTTGTCTCCTTGCTTTTTATACCATCCCTATATTCCACACTTCTTTAATTCGAAGAATTTTTAAATTTACTTGTTGATATTGTGTCACAGGCTCATAGTGTACAACTGTTAACTAATACGTAACTACAGCAAACAAACAATGTTACCAGTTCCAATGACTTCATTTCCACAAGCCTTGCATATTGTGTCTCCTGCAGAACAATAATTGTGAATAGCGAACACTACAATAATGAAAAAGCACTGAAGTGCAAACCCTCGGCGAACTGCGCTTGCGCGATACCGCTAATTGATGGGCTGTACAGTATGCGTTTACTCGTGGTGTCCCGCTAGTAGCACACGGAGAGTCTGACACGGGCTAGCTACAGTAGTAGATAGCATGCGGGAGTCGATACACGCTCGTCGTTGTGACGTCTTGCGCCTCCAACGTACGCAGATCAAGCACATCTTGTCGAGGTAAGCCCGTGCTAATTTGCATATTGGCTTGTTCACTTGCTTTTCACGCCATAACTTTTGAACGCGGTACTTTTACGAAAATCGCCAGTTTTAAAATGAAGCCAGTGTAGTTGCGCGTGGTGCCAGAAAACATGGTAACAGACAGACAGACAGACACACAGAACGACTACCGTAACCCTCGCTGCGCATGCGTGCCGAGGGTTAATTATGATTATGTGAAAGATTCAACTACAAGTAGTGGTACTAAGGAACACGAGGCAAGTGTTGATGCTTCTGCTTGGACCAGGTATCCTAACAACCCTTTGAGCAGCTTTTTGTGTAGCGGTATCTGCCTGATACCCAGGGGCATAGCAGTGAAACGGAATACACACTTTTGACAACAGACATAGGTACTAGAATCCAAATTCGTATAAACAACACGACATATTTTGCTCTGCATATCAAAACTGTAACGCCGTATGTAGCAAAAAAAGTTATTCACTGGATGTGAGGGACCTACGTAGGTGTGTGTCCGAGCTTAGCAAGGGCATTACATAGCCCAAGGGTTTCTAAATTTACGTAGGTTTCAGCGTCTAATCTTTTTAGTGTAGCTCACCCACTGATTTTAGCATATTGGTTTTTCGCTCATGTTTCACGCCATAACTCCTGAACGCAGCAGTTTCAGAGAAAACCCCACATATTTTTCGACCTATACCCGACGCTGAATACGTAGTATTGTTTGTGGAGCGATTCATGGCTCGTGAAGTGAGATGTCGAGTAACAGACTGACTGACAGACAGATACACGTGACAACTACTGTAACGTCAAAATTACACACCAAGGCGATTTTCCTGAAATGACTGATGCCATGAAAATACCATGCTGTCTTACCCCGACCTGATTCATTTGCTCAGTGTACCTTGGAATCACAACGAAGGGCGTGTATTGACTCCTGCATGCTATCTTGTAGCTAGCTAATGTAAGTGTCCTCGTGAGCTAGTAACACGCGTAAACAGCCAAGAGCCATCAATGCAGAGACCCACTTGTAGAGAGTTATACACACCTATGTAGTTGCATCAATGGTATGTACGTACGTACATACAACTTACCATCAATGTAAACAGCACTCCCCTGCAGCTTGTACAGTTTTTCCATCAGGCTATGACTGCACCAATTAATAGGGTCAAACAGTCTTGTGATTTCTAACAAGTTATTACATTTGCTGCAGATTTTGATACCTTGGTCTATGGCACATGTTGGGACCAAAATATTGTAGACTGATGTGAGGGTTACTGCCGTGGATAATCACGGACCTACTATAGTGCAAAAGATGCCAGTCAGATGCTCTTGCCACTTAGCCAATGAGAATACTGTGGCAGAGAAGCGGAAGATAGCGGCTGATGCTATCTCATCTATAGCACTTCAATTTCAACCGAAATTCTCTCTTGTTACAGAGGGAGGGCCGTGGTGTTATTTACTGCTCTACTCATGGTGTTCAACATGCAACCTCTGTAAAAAACAAGAGTCCTATCACAGCATCTAATTCATTATCAGAGTTGAACCTTTACAATGTCTTGATAGTTAACTAGGCTAGTTGGGGATCGAACCCAAGACCTTCTCATCTAACCACTGAGCCACTGAGTCACTGGGAACCATGGCTGAGAACTGGAAGCTGATTTCAACTGAAATTTTCTCTTTATAGCCATGTTGTTATTAACTGCTCTGCTTATGATAGTGTTTTGCTGAGCTGGTCCTCTAAATTTTAACACATGCGACCACTGGGGATGGAACCCAAAACCTCCTGCCTGAATCTTACCACTGAACAACATGGGAACAGTGGCTGACAACTGGAAACTGTAACACGTTAGCAAGTTCCTGTCTCTTCACGGAACCGAATGCTTAGATAGGAATGATCAAACAGTCTCCTATAAGGCATATTGAATTTTAAGGGCCAAAATTCTAACAGATGTGAGCATCAGTGTCACTAATTACCTGTCCTTAACAAGAATTTTTCTGCATCCTTCTCTTAGATTGACCTATATTATAAAGATATAAAACATAAGCATATGTAGTACCCACATTGTGTATTCAATGCGATAATGAAAAGGCAGACAGCATAGAAGAGAAGGATTCCTCGCTGCACATGTAACCCGAGAGTTAATAATACTACTCAATTAGCCATAGCATTACACCTCATACCAGAGCAATGAGAAAAGACATTAAAGCATCTCCAAGACACCTCAACTTCCATCACCACATGTTGTTGAATGCTGGGATTTTACGTGCAGCAAGGACTACGGTTTATGTTTGATGGCATCTGGTCGTTATCACTACACACCACAATAAAGTCAATGAGCAATACCAAAAGCCTCAGAGGTCTAAGGGCGTAAAAGGTGTTTTTCATTCATGTCCAAGAACTATAGTTAAAAACACACAGATGAGTCTCAAATGAAAGTATCTGATTCTTACCTGAACCTGAAAATCTTGCAGTAACTTTACAAGTGATGCTCCAAGATTAGGAATCTCTGTATGTTCTGGTATTTGCTGTATAAATTGTGGTGGTTTGAGGTAATACTCTCTATTTACTACAGGAATTCTCTGGCGAGCGAAGCGAGTAGTTCAATTTTTTGCGTGTTTCACACATAAGACTAACGCAGTATATTACGGTATGAGCACTGCCCATCAGAGTAAATAAATAATGTACTCAGACGACCAGGTAGGCTTGCTTCGCTCGCCAAAAATGGGGGTTTTATGAAAGAGCAGCCTGTAACTCCTGTTAGATGTATACCTGATATGAAATTTAAATATACATCTATTGGCGAGTGAAGCAAGCAATATTTCATGTGTTTTGTGCGTATTTAGAATCATCTAGAACATTACAGTATGTGCAGTGCCCGTCACAGAAAATTCCTCCATTTAGATTACTAGGTACGCCCGCTTTGCTTGCCAATAAAAGGACTAATTGTGTTATTATTCACAATCATGTTGCACTTACTTGAATTAACTTTGTGGGATCAATGTGAGTGCCAACATTGTTGAGAAGACCTGTAACGAACTCTAAACAAGAAAGTGGGCAGTAAGCCCTTTAGGAACATGTCATATTGTAGGGATGTGCCTACACTGGTTGGTGGTGGTGGTTATTTACAACCACCACTCATAGCTAATTTACGACCACTAGCTACCGGACAACCACTCGAAAGGCTAACTTGTCTTATTTTGCACTTTGGGTAATATACAGACTTGGTCAAGTTTGACCACCACTTCATTCTTTCTGGGCAAAACACTGTTACAGGGTACATGGGAGTTTGTAAGACACTACAAATAATCCATGTGCAACTATACTAGGGCCTCTAAACTGAGTGTTGTTATTTTATCTACAAGGTTGTCAGACAGAAAGGATATAGTAAAAGTTAAAATTACTTATAGGTGTGTAGCATAAGTACTTTGTGTGTGAAAGTGAAAAAAAAAAACAAATCGATAAACTTACTGGGGTTCGAGATAGATAAATGAATAAGAGCATCCCACAAATCATCATCTCCTTCTTCCATGGCAAACTCAATTGCCTACAAAAAAGTATAAAGTTAAGGATTTTGGGCTAATAATGTATAGTCGCCAAACCACTTCTTTAATACCATGTAATATCACTAAGTACGGCAGTACTTAGTATATACGGATGACACAGGTTGTCCTCATTATGCCCACACATTTGAGATTTGTACGTTTCAGTTTCAATAAGATCCAACCTTTTGACATATCAGTCTGATCCGTATGGTCAAAAAGAGCATGTACCCAAGAAATGGCTTAAATCACATGATCGGTAATTGAAGTTAGTTGGTTTTAAAAATTCTTCTTCTTCTTGTTGTTCAGTTTCAACAAGCGTATCTCAAAAACAAGGTAAGATATGGAGATGAAACTTTGTTTTATTTCCTTGCTTTTTGTGGTATCCCCATTCCACACTTTTCTAATTGTAAAACATTTTTTATTTACTTGTTAGATAAATGTGACAGGCTACGGGAAAAGTGACCATTCACTGTATTGGTATGTCTATGCATGAGTGAAGTTTAATGGGTTGGCATTAAACTAGGTTAATATAGAACGGCCGGGCTGCACATGCGTAGAGGATTGCTGAGTCACGGTGTTGCCACGTGTCAGTCTGTGTCTCTGCCGGCTTGCAGTGTGCTGGTCAAAAGTTGTTATGCAATTGCGTTGCCGATCGACGTAACCCCGTCGTCTTCTCCGGCCTTAGACTTTATGCCGACTACTTCTGCGCCCCATACCGCCATCGACGACTACTCCCGCTCCCCTGCTGGAGTCGGTTCGCTTCATCGTTCAGCAGGAGATCCGTGTGGCCTTGGCTACTTCGCCAACAACGGCCTCCTCGGTGCCGGTCTCTACGATCTCTACTGGCCCACCCACTAGGCGTCACCCACGGTCGTGGACACTCCGTGGCGGACTAGTCTAGTCAGGGAGGCTGGCCCACACACCTAGTCGGCCAGCAGGCCTAGTCATTGTCTGAGCAACCAGCCCACAGTCCGGTCACTGGCAGCAGTCAACCTACAGACCTGATGAAAAGCACTGAAGTGCAAACCCTCGGCGCACTGTGACCCGCACGCGTAAGTAAACGCATGCGCCGTACCACTAATTATTGATGGGCTGGGTTTAGTTTTAGCTGTTACTCGTGGTCTCTTGCCAGCTCGTGCAGAGTCTGACGCGGGCTAACTACACTACTAGATACTATGCGAGAGGCGATACACGCCCTGCGTTGCATCTTCTGGTGCCTCTGAAGTACACAGAGCATGCGGATCGATCCGACTGGTAAGCCTTCCCGTCCGTTGTTTATTTGCATATTGACTTTTTTGCGCTCTAGCTTTGCAACGGAGCAGTTTCAGAGAAAACCGTTCGAAATTTCTGACCTTCATTGCCCGTTAAGTAGGTCGTATCCTTTGTGAGATGAACAAACACCCGAGAAGTGAGATTGAGAGTAACAGACAGACAGACACACGGACCCAACTACAGTAACCCTTGCTGCGCATGCGCGCCGAGGGTTAATCACCGTCGTAGCAGTCAGCCCACAGGCAATGCATAGTCTGGGTGGTCAGCCCACAGTCTTTGTTACCGTCAGCCCACAAGCCTAGTCATGGTCTGGACCCCCGGGGCGGTCAGCCGACAGGCCCAGCCACTGGCCGACTGTTGCAAACCCTGGTCGTGGCGTCAGCTGTTAGCCACATCAGCAAGCAAGCCTACACAGCACGCGTATATATACTAGCAATCGTTGCACAGTCTTCCATTCCTCTGGACAAGCAGTAACCTATGCAACCACATGCGCACACACTCCTACCCTCACGCATACACACATACCCTCACACATACACACACACGCGCCACTCGCACTCACCTGTGCGCTCACACTTCACGAGGTCGGTCAGGAGTTCCCACCAGCCACGTGTCATAACGCTAGTCTGGGCAATAGTCAAGGCTGTAGTTGAGTCATTGACCCCTGTATTGGTTTTGTCTGACAGTAACTCTGCCACTCTCCACAACGCTCGGTGTCCCTCCACCAGCTGGAGCCCTCGCCTCAGTGCCCATATTATTGACAGCCGGTGTTTCCCTGCCAACGCTTTTGACAACAGACTCAGTCTCAACACATATGACAGTCACACCGGCCCGTCAGCTGTCTCAGGCATTGTCCCCTCCTCACACATGGACCAGACGATGGTCCTGCCATCGGCTCTACCTCCCATCTCGGCAAAGATGGTGGCAAAATCAGGTCTGGGCAGTATGTCCTTATGAAGGACTTGCTAGCGGACAATATGTCCCTCTGCGTGCAACTGGAGACACTGCCAGGACCCCACCATGTCTATGCTGGCTTGCTGAAGCCCAGACTGTGAGAGATTCAGTCCCCTCTGACATGGATGTCGTTATTCCTGGCTTATGTTTCTGTGCTAACGCTTGACACCAGGACGCTTGACCTCGTGCCATACATATGGCCGCTTGCTCAGCATCATGGTGGCCCTGGCTGGCAGGAATACGACAAGATATTCAGGACAACGTGCTGATCTGGACTCTGCAGAATGAGCTGAATGCCAGCCTAAATGCCTCCACCATGATGACCTATCAGTCCGGGCCAAATCACTGCTGCGGCTTATGTCATGAGCCGGACCACGACACAGCCAACTGTGTCCTATTAGACCTCCAGTCCCAGCCTCCCCAGCTACCACCCACCCGCAGTGGGGTACCCATGCAGGGAGGGCTGGCCGGTCCAGAGGACAGCATGCTTGGAGACGCTCGACAGGATCTGCGTGTCCTGGAATCGGGGCGCTGCTCCTTCCCCTCCTGCTCATTTCATGTGCTACATGCAAGCGGCGTGGCCACAGGGCCAGAGACTGCGAGGAGACACCAGCTGACTCTCCTTACAAGTCGTCCCCGGTGGCCTCTCCGAGGTCTTCCCGTGGCCAGGGAAGCAATTGAACACCCAGTTCCAACACGTAGACTCATCAGACACGTGGCCTCATGCCCAGCAGACTGCAGTGGTAGAGCTCGTTAGGTAGCGTGTTGTGTTCAGGGACAATCATGCCCCATCACATGCCTCTATTAGCCCATTATCATACACTGTCGCCATGCCTGGCTTTAATTATGTCTTTCAGATCCAGCTGATCAAGTCACCAATGTCATAAGTGGTCGTCGATACCTGTACACGTCGGACCTCCAGATCCCTGGAAAACAGCCACCCATGCTGAGCCGCAATGCTTCCAGGCAGCCACACCCCTTCAATTAGCCCATTGGGATAGGGCTCTACCTGAGCATCCAGACCAGTCATTTGCCCGCTACATATGGACGGGCATCCGGGAGGGCTTCCACATCGGGGCAGACAGGGCAAAGTTGTCTCTTCAGCCAGGTCTTGGCAATTTTCCATCGGTCTACATCCATACTCACCTGGTGGAAGCCCACGTTGCAGAGGAGGTAGGCAAAGGTCGCCTCCTGTGGCCTATCCCAGAGCACTTAGCACCCCTGTGCCATACCAGTCCAATCCATCTAATTCCCAAGCCGCATCAACCTGGGAAATGGAGGCTGATAGTCGATCTTTCCACCCCACCTGGTCACAGTGTCAATGACGCAATTGCCGCAGAGGTGTCAAGGATGCGATATGCCTCAGTGCTGGACGCAGCAGCTACGATCAAAAACCTCGGCCCAGGCACACTTATGGCAAAGATTGACCTGCAGAACGCCTACAGGGTGCTGCAAATCCACCCAGATAACCACCCTCTCCTGGGAATAAGTTGGGGGTAATGCCACCTTCATTGACACGCACCTCCCTTTCGGCCTCCGCTCTGTACCCAAGATTCTTTTGCTGTTGCCCTTGCCTGGGTAATGCAGACATGGGGGGCGTCTCCAGGCAGCTTCACTATTTGGGCGACTAGAGCAGGGGAGTTTACGGTCAAGTCAGCTCAGGTGGTTGACCTAGATACATGCCTCTCCCCCATGGACATTGCAGTGCACAATCGCACCAACCCCTCTATGGTAAATGTCCACCTGAAGCAAAGTAAGACTAGCTGACCCATTTGGACATGGAGTCGATATTTTCCTTAGGTCGAACCAATGCAGAGCTTTGCCCGGTAGCTGCCATCATGATGTATTACTCCATACGTCCGTCAGTGCCTAGCCCTTTTTCGTCTATATGGATCGTTTCCCACTAACCGCGGGGGTGGCACTTCCCACTTCTCGGGGCACAGTTTTAGAGTGGAGGCTGCCTCTCAAGCTGGTCTGAGTGACGCTACTGTCAATATGCTGGGACGCTGGCAGTCGGAAGCATACCAGCGCTACATCCGCACACCCAGAGAAAGTCCAGCTGCTATTTCGAGACACCTGGCCAATTGACTAGTTCTGTTGTGTATTTCATGTGGGTATTTGCGATCATTCAATTTGTATGTAGTGTTGCACATCTACCACAAATATGGTAGAAAAGAGCCAGCTGTGAAGTAAAACAATGCAATGGCCAGGCCGTACCCAGGCGCATTCCTAGTATTCATGTATTTTTTGCAGTGTATATGTAGTTTCACTCCATCACTGGCCTCATACTCCCTCTCCCTTTTCCCTCTTTAAACACTGTTTTTAGCACTAGAATTTCATTCCATTCTGCTGCATTCCATTTAGTATCATTGCTGTGTGCGTGTACGGACGAGACCATCATTCACGAGAAACAAAGGCTCCACAGTGCTAGCAACTGCATGGGTACGGCCTGGCCATTGCATTGTTTTACTTCACAGCTGGCTCTTTTCTACCATATTTGTGGTAGATGTGCAACACTACATACAAATTGAAATTGAATGAAAAGAAAGTGAACACTAAACAAACCAGCTAGGACGTATAATAGACTACATAACACGTATTATTCTATTCTTACTTTGTCAACATCTTCAAGCTTTTTGATAACTAATTCCAATGCAGCCTTTGGATTTCCCATGCGTGCTGTGAAGAAAGAAGAATTGCTAATTGGCCAACTCGGTATAATGACCCAAGTAGTACAAGTAAATAAAAAATCCTGCGAATTTAAAAAAGAGGCATATAGGGATGGTATAAAAAGAAAGGGAGACAAGATAGGGATGGGATACATAAAGCATGGTTAATGAACAGATTTGAGCACGCTGACACCCTGACCCAATCACACAATCCCTATAATTGTTGCCTGGTGTGCCACTCATAAACTCCATTTGTACTGTTGGTCATTCAGTAGCATGATTTTTTTTGGTATTTTCAAGCTGTAAGTCCTGACTATTGTGTAATGTTGAATGTTTAATACTTCACCTAGGCAATAGTATAGGGATTGTGTGATGGGATCGGGGTGTCAGCGTGCGCAAATCAGTTCATTAACCATGCTTCATGCATCCCATCCCTATCTTGCCACCCTTTCTTTTTATACCATTCCTTTTTTAAATTCACAGGATATTTGATTTACTTGTCTCACTCATTTTTATATACTATATACTATGTATATCTCTGTGAAAGAGGGCAAGCCCCTAATAAAAATTAATAATAGAGAAAGATGCCTGTTGTCGTCATGGAAATGATTTAATACGCATGCGTACCTGAAGCTATTCGTTTTTATGTGGTCGTCATGGAAACGATGTCTGTGCGTGTTACCATTAGAAAGTTTGAGGAGTTAAGCAATAAATTTAAAGAAAAGTGCCTGAGGCTCTTTGTTGTTGTTTACAAATATGCACTGTTTTAATTTCGATGTTGGTGATTAAATACACAGTTTCGTTCACATACCTCCAAGTTATACTGAAACATGTGATTCCATTATAATGTCCTGCCTGGGGCTATTTGTTGTTGTTTACAGTTGTTTACAAACAAATAAGAACGACCGGTCTCTTCGGGTGACATATATCTACACTCTTACAAAATTTCATTGCTATTATGTTATTTCGTTTTTGCACGAGTTCAATCTTAAGAAGGAGAAGGAGAAGATCTATGATGCATTCCCATCCCTATATACTAAGTACTACCGTACTTACAACATACCTAGTAAAAAGACCATTTCCTCGTACCTGTTGTGTTTTTCACACACTTGAAGTGCCTGGGATGGGATAAAGAGGTGAATCTTAAAGAGAAGCACTAAAGTGCGAAAGGCAAAGTGACAACGAAATGCACAGAAGTGTAAACCCTCAGCCCCCTAAAAACAACACTTTTAGCCCAGAAGCCACATAAATTATAGTGCCATTTATATACACTTCCAGGAGATGACCATGAGCGAGTGCTGTAGTCTGTTTTCGAACGGTCAGCAGTGTGTGCCATATTGCCAGACCTTCACTAAAACTACAACAGCACAGTGGTGTTCCTGGGCTAAAAGCGATCCTTCAGCATTACCTACACACATGCAGATATGGGAAATCATCCAGTGTATGCTTGTTTAAAATTGCAGATCGTTAGGTAACTGAATGGAGTATGTTGGCAATATTAAGATCAGCCACTGCAGTAGCTTTGAACTTCACGTGAGGCACTGAGAGATGATTGCCATTCTACCTAGTAGAGAAAAAATTTAAGCTTCTGACAGCGTTCCGACAGGTAAGCCAATGCTAATTATGCATACTGCTTTTCGCTTGTTTTCACACCATATCTATCTATCTATCTATCTAACAGTCGTTTCAGGGGATATTTTTGTTGCTGTCGTAGTGCTTAAGTGTACTGTAAGAGCCGCTGCGCATGAACACTGAGGTTTAGTTATGACCAAATGCTTCTGTGAATCACGTGGCTGCCTTTCACAAACATGGTTGGCTGGTTTCATACTGCACTTAACCAGACATTTGCGAAAAATTCATGAGATTTGTGAAATGGGATGGCATTGTTTCCGATAACAAAATTGTGGTGGATGTGAAAGTCAAGCGCCCTCCCTCACAAACCTTTTGAAGTGGTATATCAGTGCATGAGCGTAGGAAAGGTAGTAACTTCTCCTTATCATACGTAGCATACAGCTCAACTTGTCTCTGATGGTACTGACCACCTGCTTTTGGATCTTTTTGAAAAAGTCCATCTAGGTACTGCAGTTAAAAATATATACGTACTACTCTGTGAAGTTAATGGCTTGATATAAGATAAACATTTCGTCATGGCATAAACCAACTGTTTTGGATTAAGCAGCCAAATAAAAGTACATACTTAAAAGGCAATGGCAAATTATGATATTAGCAAACAATAATGTATGTGGAATAACTGTGAGTAGTCTCTATTACACAAGAATGTTTTAAAACCTTATGCAGATATTCAACCGTGTGTGTAGAATCCAGCACTTTCACCACCCTTTCAACCTGCAGCTATAAGTACATGTACATTGGAAGAGTACAAAAGACATACTGTGAAACCCGAAGATTAAGCAGTCTTTTAAATTTGGCAGTTTCATTGATTCGCTTAGAAGGGCCGAAATTTTGATTAGTTTTTTTGCTAGTATAAGGTATAAAAGAGATACACACAAATTGTATCCTTGCTTACGCAATATGCAAGCATGCACACACGTACATATGTATAATATGTTACTAAATGATTACTGCATCACTTACTGGTGGCTCAGTTCTGTGAGCAATCAACAGGTTCACTGTTTCCTACAAATAATCACAGACAATACGCATTATGCTTTAGATTGATTAGAAATGAAGGCTATGTTACACATTATGCCTTAGATCGATTTAGAAATGAAGGCCATGCCCCCCCTATCCCATCCCCCTAAATTAACCCCTTCTGGCAGGAACTGTGTCAACAATGATTAGTGTTATCATTTTTTTCAGATATAATGAAAAAATTTGCAATTCAGTTGGCTTGTTTTGCTTGGGTGCTATGGCACTGGGGCTCCCAAGAGCTGAAAAACTGTAATTGTTTGATATCTTGTTTAATACCTCACTCCCCAACTTCATCAGTGTCATTAGGTTTCCAACCAAAGATGCATGCAGCTTTCTCTTCCGAATCAGTTCAAATACTTCAAAATGGCCCTGTCTGTAAGAAAGGACATTCAATGGGTCAATCTTCCTTCAGAAGGGTATTTACAAACTGCATGCAACACAGATGTAAAAGGTTATCATATTCTGTGTGCAGTAAAGAGGTCATTGGTGAGAAATGCATCTACCATTGTCAGTGCACACAGGTTACAGTAATTGGTCTGTCCATCTGTCTGTCTGTCTGTTACCCGCCACTAGGTGGCTAAATAGGAATACCAAAGGGTCCAAAACTACATTGGCTTGATAATTAAAAATGACGATTTTCCTACATGTTAAAAGACATTGCATTAAAAACCAAGCCAAGGGAACAAACAAAAATGCTAATGAGCACAGGCGTGCCTCAACGGATTATACATTTCTGTCAACAGTGAAGGCATCAGCAAAGATTGAGTGTGAGATTAATGTGTGTGTGTGGGGGGGGGGGGGAACAGTGAACAGTGCAAAAATACCTGTTCCTGCTACTGTCAAATTTGTGTGCCAAAAAGCATTTGACAGTACTGTTTTTGTGCCAATTTCAACAACATTTTCAAGGTAACCCTAATATTAAACATTTAATTAGTGTTGGTAAACTACCAAGCTTACTGTAAATATATTTTCAAAGCTTCCTCATATTGCCCAAGATCTTCATGTCTAACAAAAAGAACAAAAATATACATTTCTATAAACGATTCAAATATGGTATCTTATATACATAACATAAAATATGGACGTGTAATTTAACAGGTAAAACAGTGAGGTGGTACATATGTCAGTTTTATGTAGAGATGGAACATGACGACTCTCATACAAAAGCTGACGAGCAATAACTAGCTAAGCCTAACAACATTGGTGGGTACGGTAGAGCCACTCATCGACTTCTCAACTGATCCATAGAAGCCATAGAAATTAAATCTTCCGACAATAGTATATTCGTAGTACCCGCAACCGCCACTAAGTATTGCTGACACAGGTATTCAACTGGATTTATCTATTTTTCAATGATGATGTCCTCCTTTTTGATACTATGTTGTTGTTGTTTTGTCGCATGTAAATGTCATGTGTCACTACAATCGTGCACCGCGGCTGTGCATGTATGTCATGTTAGTCCGGCATTAGTAAACCCATTACTTTGCATGTATGTATGTACCTAGCACAGGGACGAAGAAGATGTTTTATCTCCAATAATAGTAGTAATTACATACCAAAAACCCTAGTTTATAACTGGGATAAATTAAATATATCTTATTTACTCACAGAAGTGCCTTGACTTTTAAAAGGTCTTCATTATTTGGCTGTTCCCTCAGTTTATCCTATGGTATTAATAATAATACTCAATCCTAAATGAAAAGACAAAATTAAATGCATACTTGCATATTCCAAACAGGGGGGTACAAAGTGTTTTGCCTTGCTTATGCTATATACCTCATTATGGTAATCTTTTTCATCAAAGCATATTTCTGTGCACAAGTTACTAGTGTTACTCTACTTCTTAATTCGGCGCCTAGGAAGGGAGAAAGAGGTGAAGCCAGCAGTATTGACCACTGAATATTGTCTGACTCGACTCCTGATGGTGTCAGCAAGAAAATTTATGGAGAAAAGTTCGGTACGCTTTCTTCATGTGAAAAGTATGACCCATTATGCGGCAGCCAACTCAAAGGGATAAATTATGGCTTTTTGGTCTTCAGTGGAGTTTGGCCATAATTGATAGAGAACCCTGCTGTATACACCAGTAAGCAGATGCTACAGTGGAAACAGCTGGGTGTGTATAAAATAAAAGAGTGGTTTCGTGTGGACAGTTGAAGTATGAATGAAAAGCACTAAAGTGCAAACCCTCGGCAAACTGCGCATGTGGGGTGCCGCTGATTGATGGGCTGGGCCTATTAGCATACGTTTACTCGTGATCTCCCGCTAGTATCTCGCGGAGAGTCTGACACGGGCTAGCTACAGTAGTAGATACGTAGATTGCGGGAGTCGATACACGCCCTTCGTTGTAGCTTCTGTGCCTCCGAGGTACACAGAGCAAGCGGATCAGGTCGAGGTAAGCCAGTGCTAATTAGCATATTGGCTTGTTCACTTGGTTTTCACGCCATAACTTCTGAACGTGGCACTTTTACGAAAATCGCCTATTTTAAAATAAAGCTAGTGTAGCGCTGAACCCGCTGGTGTCGCCATTTTACCTGTTTTTGCACGTGGTGGCAGAAATCGTCGTAACAGACGGACAGACAGAACGACTACTGTAACCCTCGCTGCGCATGCGCGTGCCGAGGGTTAATGGCAGTCAATGTGCTAAATCCTATGCAAACCTCAGATAATGCTCACTGTGCCTGGGTAGCTACATATGAACACAAGTGGAGATATCATTAACAGGCCAGTGCAACTGCAGAGTTGCAAACGGAAATTTTTTCTGGAGCTATGGACTTTTGAAAGTACCCGCACATTGCAATATTCCATGTGCACGGCCAATTTGACCTCTGAACTCGACCACACACAGTGCATGTCAACCACCAAAGTCGCCAATGCAAAAAGGACTTATTACTGCAGCTACATAGCACTACAACCCCTGCACTGAGGCGTGACTCCCTTCCGAATGCGAGTCATGTAGCTCCTCCCGTCTTCAGCTATGCCCGCATCAAACGAACAGGTATGCTGTGTCTGTGAAACCAGCCCTAATGTGAGGCTGACAGTAGAGTGTAGGTTCTGGTCGCATGTTCAGTGTGCGCACCTCATGCATGTTAAAGGCCCCAAGTATTTATGTCACGCGTGTCGTACAAATGCAGTGGAGGATGTCACCAGAGTCTCCTTCCCAAGATCAAGTTTGCACATCCCCTCCAAGATGAATACATCCGATAGTGGCTTCTATTAAAGCTAATCTCTCTTTGCCTCTGCTCTCTGAATCTGTACCCGGCCGCCCTACAACTGTATTCACTCCAAGGAACTGTGCCCGAACCACACAAAATCTCTACTACAAACCCCTCAACTACCTCTCTACAATCTCCTCTACTCTCTCTCTACAATCTCCTCTACTTTCTCTCTACAGAACCTGACCTCTCCCAACAACCCAGTCTCATTGACGGGTACATATGTATAGGTTATACGATGGCGGCTTGGTCTAATGGTTGTATCGATCGGGAGAGAGACAGCTGCAATAAGCACTTTAGTTTAGTCAAGCTGTGCGGTTGTGCAGAAGCCATGGTCATTTCTCGAGAGTTCAACGTTAAAGGTACGTCAAAGCTATACTTTTTCGCTGCTAGACTCCACACGAGTTTGTAGCTGCCGCTCTGGCTCGCTTTCTCTCCCGCTATATTATATACCCAGCACTCTCGAATGCAGGAAACGCTCACTACGTTGTTTGGACTAGCTGGAATTCCTTTGATCTTACTCGACTCTCAGTCATATTACTAGGAATACGCACGCGCATATTTTTCCTCACGCGCGCAGCCAATGCGTAAACAGTCCGATTGAGAGGCCGCTCGTGCGCGCGCTCTACTGACTGCGCGCGAAGCCAGACTTCCTACACGAATCTGCGCGCACGGCGGAAGCTAGACTTCCTACGAATGACGGAAGTTACACTTCCTTTTGGTGACTAATTGACATTCCTAAGCGTGACTAATTAACGACGTACGTACAGTACGCATACCCCGAGAATACAACCCGGAGTAGTCTCAATATTCCTACTCTCTATCTAAATAGTCATCCCGCCTGGGTGACCTATAAGTCAGCCAAAAGACGTAACAGATCACAAATGCTACTTAACAAGGAGCTCCCTGATGACAACTCCCTTGACTGACCCTCGTTGTTTCTTCCCAAGTCATCCGGAACCACATTTCTCCATCATCCTGCAAAACCTACACTTAATCGCGTTACTGTCAATGTTGCAGTATATGAGGGCTCAAACATTGTTGAGGGGTGGGCCTTCAACTACTGAGCAAGTCCAGCATATCATCCACTTTCAGAACCTTCCTGACACTAGCCTGACCACCCTGAAAAAGTCGAAAGCGCACTCTCATCTTACCCCCCCCACACCCCACGCCTGGGGGGAAAGCTCATGGCCCTGCAACAAACACACACCTGTTTGCTGGCCACTGCCATCTGATGCTCTTGCTACCATCTTCGATGCCGCTCTCCTCTAAGACAATCTCCTTCCAGCATGGCATCGTTACCCCCATACCCAAGAAGAAAGGATCTCAATTGTCCAACCTCTCCAACTTCCGGCAAGGCTAACATTATGCCGTGGTGTGCGTAGTACTACACGGATGCAGGGCTCGATCCCAAGAATCAGACTTGCATACATGGCAATCAAATTATTGCTGCAAAAAGAAGTGAAAAAAGTGTAGAGCGTGACAGAAAATCTGAGCAGCTTCCAAGAGGGCCAACTTGTCGAGCCAGTGCTAATCAGTTCTCAAGAGAATCGGTGTGTCAGACTTCTCATGTCATTTAGAGGAGTGTAGCTAAGTGCTACTTTAGTTACGGAAAAGCCGGCACTAAAGAGTCCGCCTTGTGCCAGCGCCAAAGAGCTGTCTGTGTATGAAAGTTATTGCCTAGCTTACGCTAGTCTAAGTTTCTGCCAGGGACAAAGAGTCAGAGTATCAGGAGTCATTGTACAGTCTCTTTCACTCACAGTCCAACCCGCAGCCGGCGCCAGTGGGAGAGTGTTGGGAAGAGTCTATATATACAGTATGATTTGGAGAACTGCTAGTGTCCTCAGAGTTCAGACTGTCTGTTACTGGGATTTTGGCAACAGGGCACACAAAAAAATCTGAGTGAAGTAGAAGATTCAAGTCAACAACAGCAAGATAGCGTGAATATCTGAGCGAAAACCAAAAAAGCGTAGGTGATTTACGTGATGTGGAAAAATCCTGGAATCTGATTGGTCTTGTAGGAAAAGGAAAGTCAATCAATCAATCGATGTAAGGCGATGCGCCAGGCCTTCTCTCACAGGCGAATGTTGGAGAAGGTGTGGCTCTGCTATGCTAGGAAGAACCACTATACCACTTAGACACGCTAGCTGTAAAAGCCGAAAACTTTACCTATATATGCTATTACATGTGTAGTATTGCACGTAAGTCGGCCTCAATAAGTTACGTAATTAGGATGATGTGATATGTAAGATGCTAACCACCTTTTATTTGTTTACTGCTTGCATAATTATTGTTCCATTTTTTCCCCTAAAGGTATACAGAATAGACATTACGAAAACTTACATCAACAGCATTAATCACTGCTTGTGGATTATAAAGTGATGTAGGCCATGCTTGGACGGTCTTGTGAAGTGTCTACAGAATAAACGAACTACTTGCACGATGGCTCAGATAAAGTTTTTGGAAATGAGTTCAACATGCGTGCACATTAGATATCACTAATTTCTTCTAGCACCTGCGTGGGTACTGTCTCCTCGTTGCTTCGTGTTTGCGCTAAGAAAAAAACCTTGTTTCGCTCCCCCGCTAGTGAGTCTCTACTGCGTTTGCGGAGGGCGTGTCACGCATAATTCACAACTGAACGGAACGATAGTGAACGGCAGAAGGAAAGAAATGGAATGAGATTGAAAATTTTTTGACTCATGCTGTACATTATAATGGGATCACATGTGTCAGTAAAACTCACAAATGGTAAGACCTATGTAAACGAAACTTTGTAGACATAATGTATTCAATTGCCAACATAAATATCACAACAATACATGTTTGTAAACAACAAATAGCCTCAGGCACATTGCTTAAAAATTACTTCTTCACTTCTCAAACTTTCTAATGGTAGCATAATAATTATATAGAGATGAAACTTGGTACGTATGTATATCATTTTCACGACAACTACATGTTTCCATGGCGACTTTGAACAACAACAAATAGCCTCAGGCATTTCTCCTCAAACTTGCTAATAGTAGCACACATTGAGATGAAACTTGGTAGGCTTGCATATTACATCATTTCTATGATAACTACATGTTTCCATGAACCACAAAACGACAAATAGCCTTACTCCTAAAACTTGCTAATGGGAGATTAAACTTGGTACGCATGCGTATTGCATTGTTTCCTTGACAACAAATATTGTTTCGAATAGTTCAGGCACTTTTCTTTAATATTACTTCTTCACTCCTCAAACTTGTTAACGGTAGCACCATGGAGATGGAACTTGGTACGCCTGTGTATGACATTGATTCCATGATGACCGCATATTGTTCGAACAACAACAAATCGCTTCAGGCCCTTATTTCTTCACTTTTCAAACTTCCTAACGGCAGCACACATGGAGATGAAACTTGGTACGCATGCATATTACACCACTTCCATGACGACAACAGGCATTTTTCTCTATTGTTAATCTTTATAGGTGGCTTGCCCCCTTTCACAGAGATATTGTACGTACAGTACATAAAAATGAGTGGAGACAAGTAAAATAGAAATCCTGTGGATCTTAAAAAAGAGGCATATAGAGATGGTATAAAAAGATAGGGAGAAAATATAGGGATGGGATACATGAAGCATGGTTATATTGTTGCCTAGGTGAAGTATTACACATTCAACATTAAAGTAGTCAGGATTTAAAGCTTGAAAATACAAAATTGTCATGCTACTGTGTAACACACACTGTTACCATAACAATGTGAAGTCATGCTCAGTGCATGAGGAGTAACCACGGGTCCAAATGGAGTTTACGAGTGGCACAACAGGCAACAATATAGTGATTGTGTGATTGGATCTCTGAATGACCACAACAATAGATTTATGAGTGCACACCAGCAACAATCATAGGGATTGTGTGATTGGGTCAGGGTGCCAGCATGCTGAAATTTGTTCATTAACCATGGCTCATGTATCCCATCCTTATCTTGCCTTCTATATGCCTCTTTTTTAATTTACTTGTAATAATGTATATAGCACTAAGTGGGGCTCTATCTACGCTGAACAGTGGATAGAGAGCAATAGGCTCAACATGACACATTACTTTGGAGTCCTTCTGCAAAAATGTATTGAGGACTAATTCGTAGACAGCTGGACTGAGTTGTGGGTCCATCTGAGGGATAAATGGCAAAATAGCCTGGAAGAAAACAGATATCCCAATAACAGCTTGTCATACATTATAGGAAATTGACATACATCATCAAATGAATTGTTTATGTTTTAAGAAGGGGACACCTCATGTTACTGTATATATAAAATATGAATTCGGTTGTTACATTTAAGTGGAATACCAAAGGAATAGATACGATATGTACCTGAAGTTGCCCATGATCCAGAAAATACACAATGAAATCTTCCCATCTATTCTTGTCCTTTTCCTTCAATGTTTCGCCACATTTCTCTAGCAAACTAAGTTACATCTCAAAAGCCATTGCTCAAGAAGGACGTTTTGTGAGCGCAAAGGATGTTACGTGAAAAGAGAGCGAGAGAGCACATAGTAATCTGTCACTCCAAACTTGAATATCACACTATACATTACAATGACATACATTGGCAGCTGCTGCAAACTTTCCACGCTGACAGGTGACTATATAAAAACGAATCCCATATCCTAATAAAACGATCTAGGTGCATAGTAGTGAAAGTATTTCTTCCCCTCTCATCAAACCCTGCATGTACTTAATAATATATCAATGCGCACTGCAATGGTCACCAAGCTTTAACCATGCTAGTTTCTGGGCTGCATAATCCATCATTTCTCAGCTACTGATGTCCTTCAACTGAGGTGTCTTCAAAAAGAGCACTAGCGATACTACACTACAACAATGCCATAATGGTCACTCATGCTCAATTTCTCAGACACTCCTGATGAAGTGTCTAATATCTCCTTCCAATACAGACACCACATTCTTACATACTTATCACAACAGCTGTAATACACTAGAAGTATTCTTTGAAACCCAACAGTATTCCACAAAGCTCATAGCTCCTGCACAAAATCAACACACTATAACATCACAAAAGGACACGCATACCACACAGTGAATTCCAACCAATGCACAGTGTGTTTAAAACAGCAGATCCATCTCATAAATGAGGTTTGGGTGGTTAAAAGTATGTGATCCAAACTAATATCTACTCCCCCTTTTGGATACTTCTTAGACTCCTTTTCATGCACATAATAATTATATATGCGAACTCCACCAGAAAAGACAATAAATCTAACATCACAAAAATGACCATGCAACAGTTCATAGTACATATAGCTGAGATGTTTGATAGTTAAATGGGATCGTCAACAATATGTAGGAATGTGTACACTGACTCTCAATATGCTCGGACACCTCCACAGGTGAAACCTTTACAAAACACATTTTAAACTAATCCCGTGTAAAATCATGCTTTTAAAAAGTTCGCAAGACACGGCCACAGGTTATCTGTGAAATATATCGCGCTTTTAACGCACTCACTCAGCGAAGTCACACCATTTTGCAGACCTTATCGCACTTCCCAACCGGCCGTGGTAACAGCGCCGCAGCGACTGCGGCTCACCCCGCCTTGCCGGCCGTCCACTCTACGCCCGCGTTCTCCCTGGCCTCGCGAAGTTTTTTCACAGCGCACAAACGCCGTCTCAATCGCGCAGCATAAACTGTTCGCTACTGACAAATACACCCAAGTTGTGCGGAACGAGCCGACTCAGTATAGTGCTAAAATACTCTAGGGGGTGCCACCGCGAAAATCATGCGCCTATACTGAGTTTGCGTGTGCTTGTTTTAACATGGTGATAGACTCCCCTCTAACCCCCCCCCCGCAACCCAGACCAGAGCCTCCCATCTCCAACTTGAAGAAAACAAGCAAAAAAAATGAGTTGCAACTTAGACAGTGTAGGAGGCTTTTATTCAGCAAACCATTCCAATATGGTCGCAATCCCACGTTTCCTGTGAATGGAGGGAATAAATACTCTGAGTTAAACTAAACTCAACTCATTTTTCATCCACAGTAAACATTCATAACACGTAACATTTTTTACATAATACCCCACGCCGTGATAAAGGCAGTATTTGGCGCCAGTCTTTCTAGCCTCGATATCACGGCTTCTCCTTCTTTCTCCCTCCCCTTGCACTATTATATACGTGGTGACCTTTGAAGATTAAGGAGGGGAGAAGCGCCTGCGAAGATTATCGTCAATGATACGTGCAGCAGAGACTCCCACCCATAAGCATACACCAATTCTTTTATATTATCGCGGATCATGAGTGACGATTTGTGCCATGTATCACCGTGATAAAAATCTTCCAGGCCATCTCACCTCCCGTAACTGCACATGGTCAAACGCTCAACCGTACAATGTAAAATTTGCTGAGGATGAGGGAGAAGGCCTGGGATCAAGGCTATATAGCCATCTTTCATCACACACTGATACATACATAACTAGCAGGCATCTACATTGGTGTTCTCACAAATACCTGAATTTTAGTAATCTTGTGTTGATAAATCCAATGGCCAACTTACTCACACAGTCCTGAGGGCAATTTGTCGGAGCGAAACACCCGCAGTGGGGCGTGGTAGAGTAATATTATTACTAAAAAAGGATTATGTTATCCCAAGCGATACGTGGACCACTTTAGGCACACAGCTGCCAAGCACTTTGCCCACCAATTTTTAGCTGCCAGCCAGGGTAACAGACGAATTCATGTAGCCCCAGAGCTGTTATTTACGACTTGCTCTGTTGCCAGGTCCTTCCAACAAACAAAATATTCAGATGTAACGTGGTTATATGAAGCAAGCTATACTAACACAACCTAACAAAACGCGAGTTGCGCTTTAGTCATTGAGATTCCTGGTCCGCTTGCGTGCTCAGTAAAGCAGAGAATGGTTAACCTCGCTGCGTATGTCCCCTGTGTCTTTTAGGAATGTGGCTAGGCAGAATAAGCAAAAAAAAAACGAGTGGGATCCGATTCTACGTATCACCACCTGATGGCCTTGTGCATGTTGAAGTATTTTCGTCAGAAAAAACGAAGCAATCTTTGTGCATATCCAAATCAAGAATGTAATATATATACCTTTCAATTGGAAGAAATTGTGGAGTAACAGTACTCTGGAGAATTTGGATAGTAACCTCAACCACATGCATTGATTGAGCACATCCTTATATTATCCCAGGATATGCCGTGGAATACTACCGTAAACCGCCGCTCATAATGTTAAGTTTTTGAGGCTCCATTTAAAATATGCGCAGCCACTAGTGTTTAAGCTTTTATACCCAACCACAATAAAACAACACAACCAAAAAAAAAAACTATAAAACAAACATCACAAATCAACACAACACACACGAAACCCACCGCCCTCCAAACAAACCCAGACAAGCCCAAATTCCAAAAACATAATTTTATAAAACACAATAAAAAAACCAATGTCATTATTTTCTTTTCCTTTCGATTTTTCTATCGTACTCTTACTTTACTAACTATGCCTCTACCATTTTGGCAAGCGAAGCAAGCCTACCCAGACATTTCATGGCGGGAACTTTCATGTATATAATTTACTCATGTGCGGACTCTTTGTGCACCAGTCCTACATCCACATGAAAAACAAGCTCAAACAAACATCTTAAACTTGCTTGCTTCAACCACCTCGCAACAAATGCACTTCATCCCCTATATGAGTTTTATAGTGTGTAAAAACAAAAACAAAA